GATTGCATAGATTAAGCTTCCTAGGTTGATTGTTAATTGTACTTTTGTCAGGAGGGATAAATGACAATGGAAACTCTCTCTTAATCAACAAGACTAAAACCATGCGGGACATTTTCTTGCACTTCCTTTATGTGGGAACACTTCCCGAATGGGTTTAGCATCTCCGAGCCTTATAACCCAAGTTGTGAGGTTTAGAAAGGATACTAGAATACTAATTTAGGGAAAAGGTTTCTTTTTCCTATCAAAGTTATGCAATTACTTGGGAAATGTAGATCAAAAGGATTACATGTAAATGATTAAAAGACAAAGATAATGAAAATGATTCATCATGGAGTCCACTTGACTGTTAGCATGGGGCTTAGTTAGTACAGTTTGGGAGCATGCCAATTTTGATAATTAAAACTGGGAAGGATAGGCAACAAATATGAACTCCTATTCATTTTCCCTTTATTCTTAATATGGTTTAATGTACGGGTTTATCCATTGGGGTTGGATTCCTTGTCCAACTTTTTTCCTACACTTCATACTTATGGAAGTCCTTGTTTCTTGATAAATAAATAATTGTATTGCAGCTAGCAAGGGACTTTGGTCAAAATCGCCTGTTTTATGTAACTGCTGGTTCTTTATTATAGCTTAATCTGTGAGCATAAATCATAATCAACTTCATTATTCACTTGAATGTAGCATTCGTATCAGTACTAGCCATCACTCAAAAAGTTAGAATGCCGATTAATGGAGAAAAAGGATAAGCTAAAATTATCTATCAATAAAGGTAGTAAATTCCAAATTATGCGATCCTTGCTATTCAAATTTTGCTGAAAATTTAATAGAGACTCTCACTTTCTACACTTTCCTGATAAAGAGAGCAGCGTAGAAGCAAAATGTGGGTATCCATATTTCACCTTCTTTTTGCTGAAAAGATGGTCATTTTGGTTCAATGCAAGACATATTGAGCAATCGTTGACATCTCTTACTTCATCAGATGCGGAAGGCTGCAACACACAATTAAATGCGACAAACAGTTCAGAACCAATTGTCTACTTCCTTTAATATACTACACCGCATGAGGGGCGGGAGGATACAAATCTTTGAGAGAAAGTAGAGATACTTTAGTTGCTACGCTAAGCTCATATTGAACTAAACATCTTATCAAATTATAGACATATTAGAATAGAGTTACATGACTTTTAAAGAATATACCAATATGGAACAGTAGGGAGCAATCAAATCTCAAACAGTTTCTCTCAATGCGGTGTTTATCATATTGAATAGATTTTCTTCTTTATTTTTTCTTTTAATTTTTACAATTTTCAAATCTTTCAGTTGACAATACTTTCACAGGATCCATGGTATAGAAATTTAAACCAAGGTTTTTCCCCTCTGATTCAATGGTAAACATTAAAGAAACAACTAAAAAATGCCGCGATTAACAAAGAGAACAAGAAGATGAAAATAAACCTTGTTCCTTTTCGGGGACAAAGTAAGAAACGAAATCAGAAAAGAAGAAACAGTGAAGAACAAAACTAATATGACGAACTGAAATAAGAATCATACTAGGAAAACAAGATAATCCATCAAACCAAAGAAAATACACATTTCCTAAAATTCCAAGACCCGAAAACCAACATTCCGGCACTAAATTATACTAGCAAAGCTCAACAAAACAAAGAAAAACAGTAACAGGAGAAATCGCACAAGAATCCAAACAAATAAGAACTGCAGGGAACAAGAATTCAAGCAATAAGTTCAGAAACACCAACTCCTTCACAATCCAACAGAAATGAAAAGGCCAATCAAAGAACGCGAATATCAATGATAAAGTTTGTTTACCAGATTGTCAATCTCCATTGCAACACAGAAGTTGATGTAGCAAGTGAGCGAGGAAGTAGGAATTGAGCGGCAGAATTTGTAGAACGGGTTTATTTAAAGCTCGGCGCATTTTTCTCCTTTTCTCTTCATTTTCAAGTCCAGTAACAATTCAAAACATAAATAAATAAATAAATATAGATGAGAAAAAATTATGTGAGAGAATATATAAAATTCAAATATATGTTAGGAATTACGACTCTTCTAATGATATAATATTGTACATTTTGAGTGTAAGCTCTCCTAGCCTTGGATTTCTCCAAAAGATCTCATGTAGATAGAGATGTATTCCTTACCTATAAATCTATTATCATTTCCTAAATTAGCCAATATGAGACTCTCTCCCAAAAACAGACCTACAATAGTAATTATATTGTTGATTCTTCAGAGAGTTTATGTGAATTATTAACTCATTTAATTGTTGTGCTGATAACTCTTATGCTCGTTGATTTCTTCTCTTGGTATCCCTATTGAATCACTAAAGCTTTTTAGCTTCCGTCAATACAAGCATGAGCTCAACTTACCAAGAGAATCCGGAGTGATTCAATACAAGCATGAGCTTCAGTCGTTGATTTCTTTTTCTCCCTTTTAAAAAATTAGGGTTTGAATCCGGAGTGAGTCCATGAGCAACTTAAGTATTGCTCGAAACTTTGAGGCACTCCAGATGCTTAGGTAATGATGCGATGAGAGCCTACAAGTAGGTTGCTTACTGGGTATATTTATATACTCACCATTTTCCCTTTCTTTTCAAGTGTTCGCAGGCTACTAGTCGAGGTGGAGAAGCGTTCGAGAGCTGGGCAGTCATAGATGAGATCATCTCAAACTCATTTCCCTTTTTGGAGGAAATTTGAACCGCAACTTTTTATATTTGAATTTTATTTTTATTTAATTTTGGTGTTATTTGTCATTCAATTTGATTTATTTTATTTTATTATTATTTGTCTTCGCTTTCATCTTTTTAGTCTCTATATGAGTTTCAAAACCTCAAAATTCATGTCATGACAAGAACAATTGACCTCAACCTCTCACGCCCAAAATAGACTTTATGATTGAACCATAAACAAATTGTTTATTATTAGATCAATAGTACTCAATGTATAAAATGTAATTATACGAGTAAAATAGAATTTTGACTCACCTCATTACAGAGACCACACATGTTTACTTGTTTATGCTTACATTAAATTTTGAACCGTAAGTAAGACTCATTTTCGATCAAATACAACCCGTCTATAAAACACTTTGTGGCCTAAAATAGCACACAGTCTGATGGTCAGGAATACTCATTATCATTAACTTAGCACACAACACGTCAGGCTTCACGGGGCTTGGTAGACTAATTGGGGCACATGTCTTGCAACTATTCTCTTAGATTTCGGTCTCATATGTAAGACTCGCTATCGGTCAAATATGACTCATCTACTAAACTCTTTGGCAGTTGGAAGTAACACATAGCCCGTGGTCAAGAATACTCATTGTGTCTAACTTAACACACAATGTAGCTTTTGCGTGGTTTAGTAGACTATATCATATACATCACATATCATAATAAGCTCATAAGCATAAACCTCATCATACATACTAATCATGAATTTCCAATATGCTCACATCCTATTATCGTGAGCTCAACATGCTTTGTACGCATACATAGCAAGTTAAAACTTGTTTCTAAACTTCGATATGCTACTTACTCGTTGACGCCCACTATTCCTTCTTGGTGAAATTTGTCTCCTATCTTGACTCGATTACTCAGACGTTGTAAGCACTTCTTTCATGTTTTTCAAGTAATGTTTTTTTCTCCGTCTAGGAGGTCGGGTTGTTACATTAATAGTTCATAATAACTGATAAGGCAACCTTAATCCTCAGCCCAACGATCCCAGCTTTTGTTTTAGCAAGAATCCTTAAATCAAATAATTAACACCTCCTTATACGAAATTTGAATCAACCAAGAGATAAGGCTAGAATTAGATTACCTCTTACGATCGAAGATCTGAAAGTCAGTCCACAATCTAACTTGATCAAGGCTTGATTGAATGGCTAGGGTGCAATTCTACCACAAAGCTTGAAACTTAGAAATAGCAAATATGATGCTCATATTTTCAAGGGAAACGTCTTAATTTGAGATTTGAATTACATTGATCCACGAATTTGCATTTTACATAAGTGAGTATTTATAGTCTCACGACATAAAATGTTTGTGGACCGGATTTATAAGTCAAATTGACCATTTATAAAATTAAAAATAATTTTTTAGGTTTCAAATCCATTGAGCTTTTTGTGTGTAGGTTAAGATTTTGTTGTTCACATATTTTTTTGAATTTTCTTGGCAATAGGTTCACCCCTAGAAGATATTTTATACTAAAAAAAACAGTGGAAAATGCTTTTTGATCAGTCGAAGGGATTAGTTGTCAATTCTTCTTACCGTGTTATATACTATCAAAATCGGTGTTATTGTCAACTCGCTTTTAGCTTATAACGTTGCTTTCTTTAAGATTGTTTTCAACGTATTTCCTCGCTCACGTTTTCTAAAACATCTCTCTCAAACGTGACCAGAACATATGTTGACGTTGTTCGCTAAGTCTGAATTTTTTACGGCTAACTTGTTCGTTAGATTAGAATAACTACCACAAAATTGTTGTCCCCTCGTTGTAAGAATGTGGACGCCTTTTTGGTTTAATAAATATTTTTGTTTCAAAAATATATAAAAAAAATATATTTTTATCTTCAAAATTTTCATTACAATTTTTTTTTTTGCTACCATATTATAAAAATACCCACAAACTTTCTGAAACAAAATTAATATAAAAATTGTTAAATTTTTTTTTATGGTTAGTAATATAAACATAAATCATTTATCTACCTTCTAAATATTTAATTTTGTTTTTTTTTTACATTTATCTCGGAAAATAAATTACTCTAAAAATATTCTTAAATTATTTTAAAAATTTTAAAATATTTTTTTATTACTGGTATATTTAAAAAATTAAGTATATATATTTTTAAATAAATTATAAAATATAAGTGTATTTTATTAATTCAGCATTTAAAACTTTTTTTTCCTTTCCATATTAGAGCGTTGAGACAAGTCAAAATCCCAATCAGATAGATACGAATGGATCAAAACAAGCTCTGCATCAGCGATGAGAGCCACTACAAAACCGTCCCTCTCTGCAAGATAAGTGTGGATGTGGGCAACTGAAATCGGTTACTAATTCCATATAAAAATGCTTTATCTCACCAATAGATAAGGGTTGATGTCAAGAAACGCTGGTCTTTGGCGATGGCTTCCACTGCGCTGATTCTCCCCATCCATGGAGGAAACCGTACGTCTTCCCAATGCCTTTCTTTCCGCCATACCCACTCTTCTGCAACATTTTCCAGGTAATTTCATCTTCTTCCTCAAATACTTGTTTATCTCATGCGATTCTATTAGTATAATCGGATGTTCTAAGAGATTAAGAGATGATTGACTGATTTCTTGCGCCGATCGTCGGTGTATCTTCTTTATTAGGTATGAATTTCTTTGTTGAATTGGGGCTTTGTGTCTAGACTTCGTATGTTGTAGATGGCTTCTGTAAAACTTTACGAGCTACAGAGTGATAAATAAAAGCTTCTATTTTCTTCCTTTGAGGTGATTAGAGTTGGAACTGCTTGTCGATGATAAGCACTAAGATTTTGCAAAAGCTGGAGGTCCTTCTAAAATCCTTGTAAAATTTCATAAATAAAGCTAACTTAACTAATGATTCCAAGCAAGGGCGGATTAGAAGATGAATAACTCTCTGATCGAACTTGGAATCTATGATGGTCACTCTTAGATCCCAAGACGATTCACTCCAGAAGTAGCTTGATCAGACTACTCCAATGAATTGATTGTACTTTGAGAAAGAAACACAGTTTTTGTATTCCACCATGATTTCAATCTTGAATACTACATTCGTTTAAATAAGCAAAAAAGAGAATCCAAATATAATGCTAATTCAGTCGTTCAACACCTAATCTTTATTGCCACTCCATTCTTTTCTTAATTTGATACTTAAATCTTCTTTACCTTGCTTCTTGTAATTGCTCCTTTGAGTACATGCAATTGATTAGTGGTTAGATTCATATCAGTTGATGTCTTAGAATTTGTGTGTGTCGTGTTCTGAACATTAGTTAAGACAATTAGATTTGGCGCGTTCTGATTTAGGTCATTATGCTGTGAGAAGTTTGGTGCGTACTTTCATGAGTTAGCGACCTGGCCTAATGCTTAAGCTTCTTGAATATCTGGTATTTTCTCTCTATATATGTCTGGTTGTGAAGTTTTCTGTTTAAAACCTGGTGATGGAGCTTCACTCCTTGCCATGAAAACTTGCTCCGGCCAAAAACAAAGGTTTTGAGGTAATCTCTAGATAGGGAAATTTTTTGGTTCTACGGGAGTACGGATACTCATGTTTGAAACATGCTTACTTGTTACGACGTTTTCCATTCAATCTTGATCTAGATTAGGTTGTTGTTGTACTTTATTAGAAAGAATATGATCTCATTGAATTGAGTTCATATAGGATCAAATACTAACCACCAAGAAACATATAAAAAAGATCTAAATTAGTGTTAAAAACCATTACTGCTAGCTTGGTCGTCTCGTGTTGTGGTTCTTCACAGCTCTGTCTTACTGTAACCCTTTATTTATTCATTTACTTCATACTCCTCCTTTTGCTCTAAGCTCATTGCTAGTAGGTATTGTCCTCTTTGGGGTTTCTCTTTTGGACTTTCCCTCAAGGTTTTTAAAACGCATTTGCTAGAGAGAGGTTTCCACCTCCTTATAAGGAAGGTTTCGTTCCCCTCTCCAACTGATGTGGGATCTCAAAATCCACTCTCTTGGGGCCAGCATCCTTGCTGACACACCGCCCGATGTCTGACTCTGATATCATTTGTAACAGCCCAAGTTCACCGCTAACCGATATTGTCCTTTTTGGACTTACCCTTATGGGCTTACCTTCAAGGTTTTAAAACGTGTCCACTAGAGAGGGGTTTCTACACCCTTACGAGAAATGTTTCGTTCTCATCTCCAATCAATGCGGGATCTCACAATATTTCTTCTGTAAAAGGATCCCTTTTGTTCTCTAGTCGGTGGTTATAAATATAAAGCATACTGATGAAGGCTCTCCAGAATTTCGAGCTGAACTCACACACGTCCTACACTATTCTTGTTGAAAAAGATGAGGGACTTTCCTTAAATTTTTCTTATAGCTAAGACCTATATAGGCAATGAAATGAGTTCTAAACTACTGTCTCATTTACTTTTGAGCCACGTCTCCAAAAATATGCCTATTAATATTTACTAGATGTTCCAAATTATAGCCTTAAAGCTGAATTTATATATTTTTTTGCTCTTCTCTGTTAGTTGATGACTAGCAAAAGAACTTAAACAGTTGGATACAATTTTCGACACATTACATGGTGCATGATATTGTAGTAATAGTTTCAGTCGTTGGAAATGTTAGAACTCTACCTTTTGAAGTATTATTTGACAATTAGTTAGAATCCAAGACCTAGAAAGGAAATGAAACAGTATTCAACAATTTTTTCCCCATCTTGATCCTTGACCTTGGGTGTATTCTTTTTGTCCCTGCTAATTGATACATCGTTCTTGATAGTTTCTTTTCCTTCCAGGTGGGGTTGGAGTAGGGATCGAGACGTCGGAAATAGTACACACAGAACGAGGGGTCAAGCATTCCGAATTTTGGCTAACCCTAATGTACGCTTCAACTCAAGGCTTCTGCATGTTTAATGGCAATATATTTGGTTTGAATATGGTCAAAGATTTTGTAGGTATGTTATTAGAAATTAATTAGTGGATGCATATATTCAGAGAATTCACACCTGCCCCCCATTCGGATTTGAATAGAACCAATCTTTCAGCATCTCTTTATGATTGAAATGAATTTGATTGTGTTGTCTGTCTGATTCATCATAATTATCTTGATTGGTTTTTGTTTTGTTCTCTCAATGAAAACCATATTCTAAGTTGTTTATGGGCTTTTGTTCTGCAACAAACATATATCATGTCAATTGTTCAGGTCTCTCCCGGGAAAGATGACTTAATTAAGAAGGTGATTATGGTTGATCCTTTGGAGGCCAAACGTTTGGCTGCAAAAGAAATGGAAAAAATCAAAGCAAAAGAGAAGTTCAAGGTATGGGAAGGGATCATCAGTGATGCAAAACTTGTTTAATAAACCATATGGATATGCAGATAATGTTGTGAAATGTGATTGCAGAGACGACGTCAAATAGAAGCGATAAATGGAGCATGGGCAATGATTGGTCTGACGGCAGGGCTCATTGTTGAAGGTCAAACTGGAAAAGGCATTCTAGCACAGGTGAGAAGTTATAGCGTTTTACGTTCTTTTGTATTCGTGCCACTTCTTTAACATTCTTTTGAACAAATTGATTGGTTTAGAACATTTGTTTATTCCTATATGCCTCAGAGTGATAGCTTAAGAAAGTTAGCCCCAATGACTGTCTGGAGCAGTTCTTTAACTGCTTGTTAAATATGACAAGAAGTCATCGGTTCGGCCGCTTCATTTAGATAGGTTATTAACTACCAAATTTTATAAGGTTAGAACGTAGTTAGTGAGCGAACGGACTTGATTTTTACGAAGAAAGATACTAAAATAAAAACGAAAATATAATGATATAGTACCTTACAGTATAGAAACGAGACGACAACCTAAACATAGTTGAGTGGATAAAAAGTAACCTTAACATTACTTTTTTTTGTGAGGTGTTTGGCTTGAGAGACAATATGATTTTTAGAATGGAGAGGTCGTGTGACGAGGGCTGAGAGGAGGTGAGGTTTAATGGCTCATTGTGAGCTTCGGTCGCTTAGCTTTTCTTTAGTTATGATCTTGGTTTGATTTTGTTGGATTCGAGTCCTTTTCGATAGTCTGTTCTTTGAGATTCTCTTCTATCGAGCTTGTTTTTTGTATGCACTTGTCGTTTTTTCTAGATGAAAGTTTAGTTTTTTACCGAACAAAAACCTCTTACTCAATGTTGTTTTTCACTTATTTTCCAGTTGGCCGGCTACTTGGCCGCGGTTGTGAACTTCTTTGTACGGTAGACATCTTCAAGGGCAAAAGGACTTCTCCTTTGAATGGAAGAATTATTCTCTTCTCGACCATTGAAAGTTCGGTATTGCTTGTTCATCCTTTTATACGTATCAAAAAGGATCTTTCCATCCTAAGAAACTGAAGTCTGATTCTTTCCTCTTTTCAAGACTGATTTCTTCACATTTCATGTACAAAATTAACAATGTATTGAGATGGTTTGTTGAAATCGTTATCTTACCATCGAGCTGACTCTTCTAATTCTTTATTTTTTTGGGTAAAGAAATCTTTTTAATCCAACTTCCAAGGAAGTTATCTTTTAATCTTTTAAGTTCGTGTTTTGAAACATGGATGACCATGAGTATGAGTTGGACTTGGTTAGGTTAAAAGATTTTTTAGGCTCAATTTTTCGTAAATTTTTTAACCCAACCAATCTAAGCCAGTCATGAGCCCAATGTTGGAGTCAGTATAACATGTATTAATTGTTGAGACCATATGTTATATTTTTTTTATTGATTCTTTAATGATATTAAGCAAGATAATTCACCAACCAGTGTTTTATTTCAAAAAATGAAAGGAATTTTTTTTAAAGCAAATGTCATTATGTGATATTAAAATATAGTTTTTTTTGAATATTTTATCAATACATTCTTATTACTTAAAGGCCCAAGCCCACTACGCTTGTGACCAATGTACCATCAGATACCAACCATAATAGGGGGATTGGACCGACGGACCAAAACATGGCTGATTTAAGGAAAAAGGAAAAAGAAAAAAAAAAGAGGATTGAAGAAGCCTAAGTGTGGGATCCCACCTGCGTTCGGAGGAGGGAAAGGAAACAAAGCATTCCTTATAAGGGTGTAAAAATTTCTCTTTAGTAGATGAGTTTTAAAATTGTGAGGTTGACGACGATATGTAACAGGCCAAAACAAACAATATTTGGGCTGTTAAAAATGATATCAAACTCAGATACCGGACGGGTGTGCCAGCGAGAACGTTGGCCCCCCAAGAGGGTAGATTGTGAGATCCCACGTCGGTTGGAAAAGGGAGTGAAACATTGTTTATAAGGGTGAGAAAATATCGTGAAGCGGACGACGATATGTAGTGGGTCAAAGTGGACAATATTTGCTAGTGGTAGGTTTGGCTCTTACACCAAGAATTATACTCTTTTGCTATTAATGCTTTGTTTAAACCTCGCCCATACTAAATACGATCTCATAATACCAAGGGTTAAGGATGACCAGTGAGACAAACGGGCACACTACTAGGAAGTATATTTGCATGATTAAGTTTTAGAATTCTAATCCCAAATTCATTAATTCCCTTTCGTTTGTGAGTATTTACTTCTTTTTGCCCAACCATTCTAGAAATTTTGATACTAAAATACAAAGATTTGAACATCTAACCAATAGGTTAGAATATACGAGTTAACTCGGTAAGCTCAACTTACCTGACGAAATAATGGTAAACTGAATGACAACATGATATGTCTAATAAATACATCTACAAGAAAGTGTGGTACATAAAACGTCTTTTTCAAAGAAACACATTAAATTTTTATATAGACCATATCACTTTAATTTGTCCTACTATTATTATTATACATATGAAAAACAATAATTGAGGTAAGCAGTGTTTTTTTTTTTTTTTTTTTTTTTTTTGAAA